GCCCCCTGCCGCCCGGACTCGTCACTCGCGGCCTGGGGCTGGGATCTAGGTCCCCGCCGGGGCCACGCTGGCCCTGGACACTGAGCTGAGAAATCAGAGCTCTCAGCGAATGGCCGGGCATGCACACCCACCCCCAGCGAGCCCGGGGTCCAAAGGTGAGCAGGACAAGGCCCCGCCCCTGAGGAGCTCCCTGCCACTTATTAATGCACACATGCATTCGTTTCTTCGCTCAACCAGTCAGTGTTGGCTATCATCATATTTTTATTATAATCACATAATACTGAGTGTGCCAGGCGCTGCTCTAGATCCTGCCCAATGTAGGCGACAAGCGTACACACACAAAACATGAAGAGACTTAACGAGTAAGAACTCCCTTGTGAAGACTTGATCATGACACTGATCGATAGAGCAAAAACAAGAAGTAACTTCCATCTCCTCCATGAAGTCCTTTCTTATTTAACCCAAGTAAAGGTGACTTGTCCTTCCTTTTTCTTACATTTTCACCTCTCTAATGGCACTTGGTACTGTACTTACGTTTGTGACCCTATCATGTTTCCTATTTCACCCTGGATTGTTAAGGGACCAAGCATTTAGGACTCAAGATTTAGTGTCCTTGCAGGATGCAGCACCATGCCTTGCATGTAATAATGTCACCCTTGTTGTTTAATTAAATTGCTGCTGAAATTCCCTCTCACCAAATCTTTTTCATTAGCATATGAAATTCTAGTTACAGACTTTGCAGAAAAACTTGTGGAAACAACTGTGCATAGACAGGATCTCCACTTCTTCATTTCAGTCCAAACGGGCCTCCTCTACCTTCTCAAGGTCATCAAATGACCTCCTTGTTGTCAAATATGAAGGTGAGTTCTCAATAAATCGTACTGAGAGAATCCTGAAGAGAGCAGTAAATAAGATTTTTAAAGTAGAAATTTAAACTTTTTTTAAAAAATTAAGTATTGCAGTTATTATTCTACAAAAGTATAAGCAAGAAGAGCAGCAATTCTACAGAAAGACCAAAAAAGTGCACTGGTGATCTTTGCAAAACCTAAGTGAAATGGTTTTAGTTAAAAGAGAAGGCATTTTTAAAGTAATTTCTTAGAATACTGTAATATAAATAAAATGTTAATAAACACAATGAATACATAAATTCATGAAAAAATAGGATTCTTACTTAAAATCCTGGCTCTTACAAGAGAAACATCTTTTTATAGATTATATTAACTAATTTATAGTGATTAAGTCACGATCACACATCTGATCCTAGTCTAAATTAGTTAACCTCTCTCTGTTCTATGGCCACAAACTACATCCTCTGGTTTTTAATGTTAACAAAATAGACAATTTTTAAAAAATTGATTGAAAGTCCTGAAAGCAAAAAACAAAAAATATTATTAAGATGACTCTATAGTAATCATGTAATTTATAGAGAGAGAATAGTACTTCTATCTAGGCAACAGTCAGAATTTTAATCAACACAAATGTTTGGAGGTAGGAGATACAAGGCTCTCCCATGTGAGGGAGCAAGTTGTTTCTATCTTTTGCCCTCATGTGTTTGATCTCCTTGGCTAAGGTAACCCTCGTAGTTCAAAAAAACTGCTACAACTCTAATCATCATATCCTATTTCACCTGGTAAGAAAGGAGAGAGAGAGGGAGAGGGAGGGAGAAAAGCAGGGAGAGGGAGAGGGAGGAGAAGAAGGTTGTACTCCTTCCCCTAAGAACACACCCCAGAAATTGCATACACCACTTCTACTGTCATCCCAATAAGCAGAACTTAGTCTACCGGCCACAACTAACAGCCTTTTTTCTGGGTGGTCTTAGGCCCACATAAAAATTAGGAGTCATACTACTACTACAGAAAAAGGGAAACATGAATAATGGAGCACAATCAGCAGTCTGCCACAAATGTCATTTTCTTCCTTTATAGTACAACTTCCTTGGAAAGGTCTGTGAGCACTCTATGTATTTCCACCCAATTATGAACAGGGTTCCCATTTTTTTCTGCTGGGCACCTGGGTTCTTTCAGCATCTCCAATTATTTCATGACAGCTAAAATCTTTAGGAGATATTGTCACTAACCATTTAGACTCTACTTAGATTGTAAATCCTAACATGTTTTTGTCAAAAGCAGTGCCTTTGTAATGTCTCAACTTGACTAGGCTAAACTATAAGGCAGACTCTCCCATAACAAAGGGAGAAATTTCTTTTGTACATATATCACAATAGCTGTATAATTTTATTATTTCCTTGTGAAACAAAAAAGCTTAATTGTTCTATTAATCTTTCAAATTCAGATGTCTCAACAAGACAAAATCCTAATGAGACAAACTTGTGGGTTAATTTTAATGATCTTAGATCTCATAGATTCTTAGAATAAAATAAAAAATCACAGGTGTCTGATTTTTTAGACATGCTATTGCTTCATGGCATTAAAAACAATAGCTTTCTTTAGGAAATGGTGAAAAGAATTTTCCCTGAGTATTTTTCCTCAAATTAACACCATGCTCTGTTGCATAAACTTGCAGTTATCCATTGAGAGAATCTAGCACATAGTTCTGAGGGCCCTCTTGCCAATAGCTTTCTTAAGCTGGCAATCTATCTTAACTGCCAATAAGCTATGTGCATCTCGATTTGAAAAAAACCAATAACAATGTTAAGCATTTTTAGAATATGAAATGTTTACTTAAAAAAATTGACACTTTGTAGGTTATTTCTTAAAAATGTTACCAAGTTTATTAGATACTCAGTAAAGGAAATAATGAATTTTATTAAGTTTTCATTTATTGTTAATCACTTACATCCCCATCTTTCATTCCCTACAATTTACTGAAATATTTGAGAATCAGAATCAAGAGTGTGTAATATCAATGATAAGAAGCAATAATAGGTAAACTAGGTTAGGTTCTTTAAATTTTTTAAATACAAATTTCTGAAGGTAGTATTTATTACATAATGCTTAATTATAATCCAACAACTATGTTGGAGAGTAAAGACAATTAAACATAAATAACATTTCCAGAGTTTACAAAATACAAAACCACCAGAGTTCTTGAATAGGGAACTGATTTTATAAATTAATTATTTAGGAAAACTGATTTATAAATAATATGTAGGAGGGACCAGAATAGGAAATAAGAGTGAAGGTTTCCACATATTGATAGTAACTAAATATCAGGTTGCACAGACCCAGGCATTAGTCTTAGCAGTGGAAACAGAAAGGAATGTTGGATTTGAAAAAAATTACAAAATATGATGCCTGATTGGAAGTAGAAAAATGACAATGGAGGAGTCAAAAAATCACTAAGTTTTCTAGACAGAATAACCAAAAGACATGTGGTGTTATTCTCAAATATAAGGAAATAGAAATGGGAGAGAAACTGGAGACAGGTGATGAACTTGCCTTGGGGCATGTTGAGTTGGAGACAATACAGAGAGCTCCTAGTGAAGATTAAAGTATTTCATCTGTTGGATTCTCTGAGAAGCCGGCTCTGAGGTCAAGTTTAGTATGAGCTGTGTTTTTAGGTTGTACCCTTGAGACTGGTATGTAGAAGTAAAGGTGAAAAAGCAAGATTGGGTGACAGCCACAACCTCAGCTGACCCTGTAGAACACTCGAGCTGAATGGCCAGTAGAGTTGTCTAGTGTACGGCCAACACCACTGGGTCTTCATAACCCCAAATGATTGGATGTGGGCTTCCCTGCAAAGGGGCATGACTCGGACAAAGCCGCTAAGGCCATCCCCCCAGAGGCTGACAGCCATCTCAGAAAGTCCTTTATTAAAGTGCTAATGTCCCAGAGACTCCCATAACTATGAAACTGTGGTAGGGATGGGAGTTGTAACTAAAGAAAAATTAGATAATTAGTGAATCCCAGTTCTGTTTCTGCTTTTAGCATTGGTAAGCAAAAGACAAAATCTACCGTGGTTATAGTTGTCATTTTCTGAAATGCTGGATACTCCTAATAAGAAAGAAAAGAATTTTAGAATTGTGAAGTAGTCATTTATGTGTTAACTTTTATAAAAATAACGTGTTTCTAAAATAAGTTATTTTCCTTAAAACATGATAAACAAGCAAATTTAAAATTTTTCTAATTGTCATTGCTCATGCTTGCTAGCCAGTAGTTAGCTTTGGGGTACCGGGCCATGAAACATAGCAGTATTTAATAAAAGTAATGAGAATTTTAAACATTTTCTACTTTACCTGTTTTGGGGCACACAGACCATAATGTTTCACTGGCCTTTTGAATTCTTTATCTAAAAGGGGAATTTAAAAAATACTTTCATGTTACCAAACATTTAAAGTATTTGCATATTATCAAATAAGTGTTCCAAAAATATTTCTAGGTGTTGCCTAGAGCTCATGTTTATCCATTGTTTATCAACCACATTTTTCCTTCTAAATGCATGTCAAAGTTCTATATCATTTCCCATTTAAATATTAACTATTATTCTACCAGGAAACAAAATTATCATCGTGACAATACAACAAAAGCTTTGCTACCTTTAGATCTTGAAATATTATATTATGCTGTAATAAATTTATTTTCTTAGTAAAAGCAATAAGACCTCAAAAAAATAAGACAAGCCATAGACAGAGAGAAAATAATTGCAGAAGACATTGTAGTGTAAGCCCTGACCATTTTTTTTCTTTTTTATAATGCAAGTGCCTAACTTACTCTTTAATTGCCAGGCAAAGGCATCCTCTTCAAGGGGCATTCCAGTCAAAGCCTCAAAGCCGGCTGTATCGGATAAACACATTGCCAGCCACACACTAGAGAGAGTCAGGCCGCCTCCCCCTGTGGCTCCTTTGTTTTACAGATCTTTGTTGATTTCAGTAGCAAACCACTTGGGCCATTTGTTTTGTCTTCCCAGCTTTAAATTCCCATTCTTATGCTTTTTGGTTTGTTTGTTTGTTTAATATATCTTTATTGATTTCAGAGAAAGGAAGGGAGAGGCAGAGGGACAGAGATAGAAACATCAATGATGAGAGTGATTGATCAGCTGCCTCCTGCACGCCCCCTATTGAGGAAAGAGCCCACAACCCAGGCATGTGTCCTGACCGGGAATCGAACAGCCATCTCCGGGATCATAGGTTGATGCTCAACTGCTGAGCCACACCGGCCAGCCCCATTCTCATGTTTTAAATTCATCAATAGACTGAGCCCAAGAAACCCTAGGCCCCCACCCTCCACCCTAATGAAAGCAAAACCCAAGGCCCATGTTCATGCTCTCTCTCCATGACCTAGCCCAGGTGTGCTTGCAAGTTCTAGGTCTTTTAAGTAATAAACCTGTATCTTCTCAAAGTTTTCTGATGGTTATTGCTGAAGGGTGCCTTGCAATAATAATAACAACTACAAGGGCTGGTCTAGCCACCACGTTGGTTTTCCATAGGCTAAGACCAGTACAATACAGACATGTCTCATGAAGGACTGTTATCAAAATATACGAAGCCCTCTTAAAAATAAAAAATGAAAAAAACCAACAACCTGATTAAAAACGGGTAAAAGGAAGAAAGAGCAAAATAGTAAGAAAGATTGCAAAGAGATGGAATAAGTTTGTGGGTGCAGAGCCTACTAGTTGTCCCCCAGGATCAGTACTCCCCTTTCAAAATTATAGCAAAATAATTTTTGAAATGGGGTGATGCTGGTTAAAGGGTACACATTTCCAGTTATAAGACCAATAATTTCTAGGGATGTAATGCACAGCATGGTGACTAGAGTTTACAATACTGTATTGTATATTTGAAAATTGCTAAGAGAGTAGTTATTAAAAGTTCTCATCCCACACATACACCAAAAGAACAGTAACTGGGCCAGATGAGGGAGGTGTTAACTAACCTCATCGTAATAATTTTGCAATATATCTATGTAGCAAAGCATCACATCATACACCTTACAGTGTTGTGTGTCAATTGTATCTCAATAAAGCTGGGGGGGGAAGGCAGCAGTTAGCTCACCCTTTACCTCTTCCCCTTCACCATCGCCTGCGTTCTGCCCCCCGGAGCTTGGATGCCGCCTTGTCCGTGAAGGTCAGTGCAGCCCCGGGGGTGAGGGGAGCTCGGAGCTGAAAGCAGTTTGCGTCCCAGAGCACTCTGTGGAGCAGAGCTGTCGTAATTTCCAGAACACTTATCTTTGGACTTTCCATGAGAGAAAGAAAAAAAAACATTTACTTTATAGAAGTCATAAATATTATTTTGTTTTTGTTTTTGTTTTTGTTTTCTGGTTCTCCCATTTGAACTTAATCCTAATCGTGTGTGTTTTCTTCTTGCATGAGAAAATATTTTAGGAGAAATTCTAACTAATTGAAGGCCCCCTTTTACTACCTATATAATTTCATTCAAAAATGCTGTAAAAATATTGCATGAACTGTTACTTATGAAGTATTTAAAGTAAATTATTTGTATTAGGGAAAATATGCAACATTTAAATAAGTGAATTTGTTTAAATGAAATAAGTTCAATTCTAAATGTTCACTAAGATGGTAATGAGAGAATTTTCACTAAGAATTCTCACTAAGAGAATTTTAGCTGAAATATTAAGCAGACTGGCAGAAAAATCTTTGCAAAACACGTATCTAATAAAGGACTGGTTTCCAAAATATACGAAGAACTCTAAAAGCTCAACAGTAAGAAAACAACCCAATTAAAAATGGGAAAAAGATCTGAACAGACACCTGACCAAAAAAAAAATAGACAGATGGCAAATAAACATATGAAAAGACGCTTCACATCATGTCATTAGGGGATTGCAAATTGAAACAATAGATACCACTACACCTATTAGAACAGCCCAGATCCAAAGCACTGACAACACCAAATGCTTCGAGGGCATGAAGCAACAGGAACTCTCATTAATTGCTGATAGGAATGAAAAAATGCTCCAGTCACTTTGGAAGAACGTTTGACATTTTTTACAAAACTAAACATACTCTTAACCATATGATCCAGCAATTATGTTTCTTGGTATTTACCAAAAGGACATGAAAACTTATGTCCACACAAAAACCTGCACATGGATGTTTATAGCAGCTTTATTTAAAAATGCCAAAGCTGGGAAGCAACCAAGATGTCCTTCAGTAGGTGAATGGGTAAATAAACTGTGATCATCCGGACAATGAAATGTTAGTGTTTTAAAGGAAATAAGCAATCTAACTATGAAGAGACATGCGGAGACTTTAAATGCATATTACTAATTGAAGGAAACCAATATGAAAAGGCTACATACTGTATGATTTCAACCATATGAATTAGGAGGGGGAAAAACTATGGAGACAGAAATAAGTTCAGGAGTTTAAGGTGGGGGGGGGGTGAATAGCCAGAACACAGATTTTTAGGGCAGTGAAACTACTGTACATGTTACCGTAATGATGGGTAGATGCCCTTATACACTTGTCAAGACCCATAGAATGTATGACACCAAGAGTGAACTGTAATGTAAACTAAAGGATTTAAGTGGTAATGAAAGTTTGATTGGGACAAACGTACCACTCTAATGAGGGACATTGACAGTGGGGGAGATGGCTGGGGGGGG